TTAATAAAAATTGTCAAGAATATTAGCCTATAAATAGAACTTATACAATCACCAGACCACCAGCCAATAATGGCAGCTTACAACAGGACCTCACTTCCGGTGTTGTAGAGCGACCCCCCCCCCTTTTCAGTGAGATTTCCCTTGGAAATCTTGCTCTAGAGTGAGTCCCCCCACTAGGGGTATATCTAACTCTAGAGACATACTCCCCCCTCCAGCCATAAGCCCCCCTCTGAAATTATCAAAAGGAAGTAAGTCTACCCAAGGGGGGAACCTCACCTAAGAGCCTTACTTCCCCCTCAAGATTTGCTCAGGAGTAATACTATCACTTTGGGGAAGGCCCAGTCTAGAGCCATGTTTCCCTGTTTAATCTCGCTCCAGAGTGAAACACTCCTTCCCCCTTCTATGTAAATTCTAAATTTGTGAACTTATTTGAAAAGAAAGGAAAGGGGGATATAAATTTTATGTTTTATATAATAGTAACTTACACGTAGTGTTTATGCTGTCTTATTAACTTTTAATTCGTACTATATTAGACATATTAATACGGTGTAGTTACCTAAGCCATAATAATATGTTAAATTTTTTCTTCGAAATGATGCAAAATTTCATGGCAAGTGCTCAAAGGTTTTAAAGATATCGTGAGGAAACGAAAGTGTTGCACACAGACAGAATAACAGCAAGTCGGACTGACGGAAGGACAAACGGACGGCCAGATCCAAATTAATATCCTCTACTTTCAGCGAAACCGGGAGCAATTCATGCATCACTCTAAAGGTTTGGGAACTAAATGATTGTAGTACTAGTTAAAAGCAAGATTAAATGAAGGGTGAAGATGACCTACAATGGGGGAAGTCTGACTCTACAACTAGTGGTAGAGTAGGTCTTCCCGCACGAAAGTTGGGCTCTAGAGTGATACTTCCCCGGGGTTCTCCTGCTCTAGAGTCATTTTCCTCCAGGGGGAAGAATCACTCTAGAGCAAGACTTCCGGGGGGAAGTCTCACCCTAGAGCATGACTTCCGGGGGGGGGGGGGGGGGAGGAGTCTGACTATGGGGGAAGTCTCCTAGCTGCAATAATGTAGCCCTCTCCGATTTTTTTTTTTTTTTTTTTTTTTTTTTTTTGGGAGAGGGCTACAACTCCTTAGGATCTCCGTAATGGTGCAAGTGCGGGAGTGATTCACTACCGCACATATTTCGGCTCAAATTATCAGTAAGTGGGTATTTTATTAACATATCTTACCTGAACTCATAAAATGTAGTCATGCAAGACATGAATTGATCCAAAAATATACAGAACAATCCGTATATCGGTTATTTTTCGTGTATGTCAACATCACAACTTGAATTTATCCGCCATGTTTACTGACCTTGATCGATTTTATTTTGGGACAACCAATGAGAATTCGGGATCTATGGGAGCGGATCGAATTGGATTTCCCTTATTTTAAGCATAAATATCACTGTTTATGAAAAAAATATCCCATGGAATGCTTTTATTTATCGATGTGTAGTGATATCATACAACACAAACATTTATCAACATCGATATTTACTTTATCAAGTGATTCTAAATTTTAAGCGCAAGTCTCAGTACATCACGCGAGAACTGTCATGGCTGCTGAGGAGAACGACTGGTAAACACGCAGATTTATTTTACTTGGTATTCGCGTATAAAGGGCTATGATGTTGACAGTGAATAAAAATTCCATCTTATTGGAAGTAAGTTGAATGCAAAAACAATTTATTTTGCCTGCAGTCGCCCGTATCTAAAAAATATATTTGCACCATTACGGAGATGCAGTGGAATTGTAGCCCTCTCCTGAAAATATCAGATTAAAAAAAATTGGAGAGGGCTACATTATTGCAGCTAGAAGTCTCCCTTTACAGCACCGGCACTTAATCTCCCAAGGGAGATGACAATAGATACTTCGAAAGAAAAAGATAGTCATTTTCTTAAAAAAAAACTTTTCACCACAAAATATAGTTCCTTAATGTTTTTTGTATGGAATTTAATCGTAGGCGTTTAATTAGGCCCCTACCGGTGAAACCGGAGGAGACTATAGGCTTCCTCTGAGTCTGTCCGTCCGTCTGTCTGTCTAGCTGTCTATCTGTCTGTCTGTCCCGCTTGGTTTTCCGCACATTTTTTCTAAACGCTTGCAGATATTGAGCTGATTTTTGGTGTGTGAGTGAATCTTGATGAGTTACAGATCAAGTTTGCATTTCGTTCCACTTCAATGATTTTTGACGCAATTTATGACCTTTTCAATTTTTTAAGGGTTTTCCGCAATTTTTTTTTCTAAACGCTTGCAGATATTGAGCTGATTTTTGGTATGTGCCTTTACTTAATGAGTTATAGATCAAGTTTGCATTTCGTTCCGCTTCACTGATTTTTGACGGATTTATGGCATTTTCAATTTCTAACGGAAACCAGATTACACTTGCCATTGCTTATTGAATATAGTTTAGTTGGCATTTCAAAATTCAAATTTATTGTAAAAAATATTTAATATGATGCATAAGTTTAGAAATAGAATCCAAACAAAAATTAACTTAAAAAGCTCAGGATCAAACCTCATTAAAAGATTGTACAGCGGCATTTTCAGAGAATTTTCCCTCCTTGTGACCATCTATATAGAAGAAAAATGAATTTTTTTAAAATAAAGAATTAACAAGAGTTTTAAGGGATACACAGCACGAAACACAGTTTAATCTGTGAATGAATATTTATCTTAATATTTCATCATTTACTTAATTATTTATGAAATTTCGAAATTCACCCATAGAAATCAAGTTAAATATTAGTGTATGTTCTATTTCAATTGCTCTATTCTATTCCATCATTGTAAAGTATAAATCATTGATTTTGTGATTTTTTTTTTTCAGAATGAAAATTAATGTTGCACATGTTATTTTTACACATCGAAACTTTCTCAAACAGTGATATGTTGACATCAAAGGAATGTTCAAAGCGTTTTATAAGGAAAGCATAATTGCCACTGTTTTAACTTTTCCAAATATAATATCATTAATTTCTTTTAAATAACAATTTCTAAGGATTTAATAGTCTTGATTTTGTAAAGTTTGATGCAACAAAAGAGTGAAACAGTTTAAAATATGTTAAATTTTTTCTTCATGATAAAAAAAAAAAGAATCGGAGGAAATCAATGATATATAAATGTATCAATTTATTGAATTGGAATTTGAAAAGGTCATCTTCGAAGAAGGACAATGGTAGGACAGAACACAAGAAATGTTTTGCTAGGAAAAGTTCAAATTTGTTGTTTAACCAAAGGGGTAAAGGATGGGAACTTTATTTTGACAATCTTCCAATAAACAATGATAGAAATGTTAAAGAAAGGAATTTAAGATGTAACATTTTTATTTTGAATTATCAAATTCTATACCATACAGGTGTATTGCATAATTAATTATCAAATTGATACTGTTAAAAGTGATGTTAAAAATATAGGGCTACTAACATTTACTCTAGTCTATTATCAAAATCTAGATGATTTTAAACAACATTGCATTCAAGGGCTGTCAAAGCTTATCTACACCGTTTTCCAGTTATGACCATTTTGAGCAATATACAAATTAACATCGACAAAATTCTAAATCTGGTATAGAGAAAAGTACCCATGACAACTTAATGTTACATAATGAGTCAAAATCACGTGTTTCATTTAAGAAAATTGTATCATAAAATAAAAGATTTATGTGAAATATGAATAAAACGAAGTTTTGACAACTCAGCTGAACTGTAAAGCAAAGAAAGAACTGATAAAGTAAGTGCCGGAAAAACGATATTTTTTTTAATACACTGCATCTGCAAATGATTTTTTTTCCGCACTTTACAATTATTGATACATATCGTGGACATTACGTACGTGACAAAGATCCAGAGTATATCGGTATCAGCACGTGAAGTTGGTACATCATACTGTCAACATTCAGATATTCATGATTAATAATTTTAGATATTTGTTGCATTATTCTTTGAATCAAATAATTTGATGAAAATACATTCCTTTATCTCGGTGCGATTTTCATTTCCATGAATTTATTTATTTTTATAAATACATGTATTTAACAATTGATCACTGAAAATTAAAGTATAAAAAATGCACAGAAAATAAGGCACGTGTACAGTTTGCAATAAAAATGTATCATATACATGTACTTTTTGAACTTTTTTTCCCCTTTTGGACTCTTTCTTATAAATTCTAGTACTTTAAAGTGCTAAGTATATTTTTGCGGCCGATTTGATGCTTTGCATCAATTTAACTTGTTGAAGATAGTATCAAAATCCTCGGTCATCCGATATTTATATCTATGGAATTAATAGCATGGTATATTCTTCAACTTTTCTGCGCATGCGTACAATAATGAGGAAGAAGTGAAGCAATATTTTTGTGTTGGGGCAAACAAATTTTTTTTTACTTTTACTTTTCTTCAAAAGAGTAGAGTTTTTAGGTTCTTAAACCTGTAATTTCTGAAACTCAATATCTTCAAGAATTGAACAAAATTTGCATGTGTCATCCAATAATTCTACTTTTGTCAGTTTTCCCCTTTTTCCGTCACGGTGTCTCTTTAGGTTAGCTGTGATAAATACATGTATTTAATTAAAAATATACGCTAAACAACTCGTGTAATTATCCTATTTCAAAAAAAAAAGGATTTAGATTTATTGCTACATAGAAAATCAACGTTTTTTCTTTCTTTCTCTTTCTCTCTCTTTTGATTTACTTACAAGTACAATGGTCAGACTTTTTTCTTTTTCTTAGATGCATCAGATAACATAAAATTTAATAAATATGTGTTTACAATGTACATAAGGAACAAGTCAGACCTACATTATATGACACATACATGAATACGATAGTAATTCTGTACATATGGGTACAATTTACTTAGGATAAAAGTACTTTTTAACTCAAGAAAGAAACATTTACAAAAGCAAAACTACTTTGTTCAAATTTGTAGAATTACAATACCCACTTTACATTAAAAACGTTGAACTTAAACTGGATTCTCTGGAACTTGGAAAATACAATGATGGATGAGGTCTCCCTGGGAATGCTCTTATAGACTCCAGGAGTATGCCTGCTCCCTCTACAGAGTGCTCGAATTCTTCTAAATCTGCCATATGTTCATCAAAGGATCGTATACTTCCAAGTCCACCACAAACGATAAACAAATTCCTATATTCATCAAATAATATTGACAAAAGGCTTGTTGTTCTTTCTGTTCTTTGCTGACCAATCTCTGATCGGAGATTTTTGTCTTCAATTTCGCTTATGTCAAAATCATTTTGCTCTTTCAGAAGGTGTTTGATGTATTTTATATCTGTTTGAAGTAGAACCTCTGCCATTTCAAAATTTCCACCCATATAATATTTACGTGCTTTTGAATCCATCCATTTTGTGATCAACTCCGGAACTTTGGAATGTGTGCCTGGGATTTTAAGATCTCTGATTCTTTCATCTACCTTAAATGGCATGACGTCACTGATATTCATGGGTTTGTGATCTCTAGAATTTTGTTTATTGTTTGGAGAACATCTACCACATTTTTCGTTATGCAATTTCTCTAAAGCTTCACGAGAAGCACTAGTTTTAACATACTTCAAAGCGTCCTGAAATACCTGTTCGAATGACGGTGTCTCCGACAAGAGCGCTTGATTTAGTTTATCATATGCTTCGCAAATATATTGGTATGCTGCTTCATATAATCCAAAACTAGCAAAACCCGTTACTGCCTTCATAGATGTTGGATGGAAAACATTGAGCCATGCATGATGTATATCTCGAGTCTCTGAGAAGTGTTTGCAGTCTTTTAAAACTCCGAGGGCTGGTTTGAAGACATGTTTCCAGCCATGCCTGTTGTACATATTTTGAAGACACTGAATAGGTAAAACTCGAAATGCCTCGATGTACGTAGCTATTGTTTGAATTTCTTTTTCTGAATAATAATCAATAAGATTATTTTCAGGTATGAAGTAATGTGGTATGTTTCGGTTTTTCAAACAATCTAAAAGATAGCCAACAATAAATAACAAACATCCACCGACATTCTGTTCCCATACTTCTCTTCTGATGTTTTCACTGGCATGAAAGAAAACATTCTTCAAATGCTTATGCTTAAGTGTTTTATCAAGGTGGCGAGTAAGGTACTCTACGGAAATTTTAAACAATCTAAACACGCTCTTCTGAACTGGACAAAGTGCTTTCTTTAAGAGAATTTGATCCGCGTTTGAAAAGACAAATTTCCATTCAACTTCCGGAAGAACGCTTTCTGGATGGGCTCTTTGTATAAGTGTGCAACCGCCTGATAAAATTTCTTCAATTATATCGTCAGAGGGCCATTTGCATTTTCTTTGCCTAGAGTGCCACCGTCGAGCTAATTTAGGAAAGCAATTACAGTGATAACCATATAATATTTTTTTACTTTCACAGCTACCTAGCTCACCCTGTACAGAAGGTGGTGAAGGCGTCTTTTTTAGATACACTTCTGAGTTTCTGCGATACAGTAAGCTACTCAAGACGTCATCAAGTGGAAATGCAGGAATTAGTCTGCAATACCCTGCGTGTGTATTCTTGCAGTCCGCTGATAATGTCAGAAGTGTTTTGTCTGTATTTGCATCGTCAAGGTAAATAACATTAAAATTCATATTGCACATCACAATGGTGGCAAAGTTTAAAGATTTTACATCTTCGTAATACTGCATTTTCTTTTCCTTGGTACAATCTACCATGCAAACGTTTACATCCTCTACTGAAGCACCATGCATTTGAGACTTAAACCCAGGAAATGTTCCTTCCTTAAACAAATCCTGCTTAAATACACGTACCACGGATGTTATTTGTTGAAAATCTAGTAAGTAGTTTATTATGTAGGAAAAATGCGGTAAAGGTAGTCCAGTCAAAGGATCGATTCCTTGACCTTGCACAAGTAGCGACTCCAATGACTCTGAAATTTTTTAAAAGGAATTAGACTATGTGCAATTGCTAAAGAAAAGTTTAAATCTAATTCAGACTTAAATCATATTTTGAAATTTATCTAAATACCTTTATTTTCCTGCAATTGAAGATTGGCTAAGCCATATTTAACAAACGTTCTGTTTTTTTCAGGTAGTAGGTCGACAGACTCAGGGAGTGAATTCGTCAATTGTTCCAAAGTTTCTTCTTGATGAGGAATCTTCAACCCTGCACGCTGTAAGAACTTTTCTATTCCCATATTCTCTATCTTTTCCAGAATATCTTTCTTGGTCGACAAAGGTGATGACATTTTTCTGAAGACTTGGTACCTTCTTATCAAAGATTCTGTTTGAAAATATATATAAAAATAGTCTATGTGTACTTTGATGTGAGTCACTGTAGTTTTACAACTTGAGTAATTTTCTATCTTACTCACTGAAAGGCCAGTAAATCTCCCAGTCGTATTCCCGTAAACTCAGGTAGTGGAATTCCCCAATGTGTCCCAGATATATTGTAAGTCTTTGACGTTTTGTGATAGGAGTACCTTCTGGTAGGATTTCTGTCCTTCGAATGTCGTCCTCGAAGACATTGAAAACAATCACAATGAGATTTAGTGCGTCGGCAATGGCTTTCAGTATCATGTGATCACCCCATTGAGAATTCTGTTCCATCCTTAGCAAATACTGTTCCCATGTCTCCGTTGACAAAAATGCCTCTAACCTACTTCCATCACTCTGACATGGGTTTTTGCGTAAAAATCTAAAGACAATAATTCGTTTAATAATTAGACAATGATTAATACTCTATATACATGTATTGATATAATTACAAAAACATAGGTAATCAAAGATTACGAAGCTCACCTCGACGAAGGTTATCTATAAGTAAGGCAAATCTCACATCATATTTTTTCTAGTTAGTGTACATCCCAAGATCAATATCTATACAAGTTTGGTTTAAGAAGGACTTATAATTACTTGGAAATAGACCTGCTCAAAAAACTTTAACCTGGTCACTCATCTGGAAAATCTAGGTCAGATTCAGCATCCGAAGCAAGTGTGTAGTGTTCATCCCTAGATGCATCATCCATGCAAGTTTGGTCCAGGTAGGGCGTATAGTTACTTGGGAATGGACCTGCTCCAAAAACTTTAACCTGGTCACTCATCTGGAAAATCTAGGTCAGATCCAGCATCCGAAGCAAGTGTGGTAGTGTCCATCCCTATATGCATCATCCATGCAAGTTTGGTTCAGGTAGGGCTTATAGTTACTTGAGAATGGATCTGCTCCAAAAACTTTAACCTGGTCACTCATCTGGAAAATCTAGGTCAGATTCAGCATCCGAAGCAAGTGTGGTAGTGTCCATCCCTAGATGCATCATCCATGCAAGTTTGGTTCAGGTAGGGCTTATAGTTACTTGGGAATGGACCTGCTCCAAAAACTTTAACCTGGTCACTCATCTGGAAAATCTAGGTTAGATTCAGCATCTGAAGCAAGTGTGGTAGTGTCCATCCCTAGATGCATCATCCATGCAAGTTTGGTCCAGGTAGGGCTTATAGTTACTTGGGAATGGACCTGCTCCAAAAACTTTAACCTGGTCACTCATCTGGAAAAATCTAGGTCAGATCCAGCATCCGAAGCAAGTGTGGCAGTGTCCATTCTAGATGCATCATCCATGCAAGTTTGGTTCAGGTAGGGCGTATAGTTACTTGGGAATGGATCTGCTCCAAAAACTTTAACCTGGTCACTCATCTGGAAAATCTAGGTCAGATCCAGCATCCGAAGCAAGTGTGGCAGTGTCCATTCTAGATGCATCATCCATGCAAATTTGGTTCAGGTAGGGCCTATAGTTACTTGGGAATGGACCTGCTCCAAAAACATTAACCTGGTCACTCATCTGGAAAATCTAGATTAGATTCAGCATCCGAAGCAAGTGTGGTAGTGTCCATCCCTAGATGCATCATCCATGCAAGTTTGGTCCAGGTAGGGCTTATAGTTACTTGGGAATGGATCTGCTCCAAAAACTTTAACCTGGTCACTCATCTGGAAAATCTAGGTCAGATTCAGCATCCGAAGCAAGTGTGTAGTGTTCATCCCTAGATGCATCATCCATGCAAGTTTGGTCCAGGTAGGGCTTATAGTTACTTGGGAATGGACCTGCTCCAAAAACTTTAACCTGGTCACTCATCTGGAAAATCTAGGTCAGATCCAGCATCCGAAGCAAGTGTGGTAGTGTCCATCCCTAGATGCATCATCCATGCAAGTTTGGTCCAGGTAGGGCTTTTAGTTACTTGGGAATGGATCTGCTCCAAAAACTTTAACCTGGTCACTCATCTGGAAAATCTAGGTCAGATCCAGCATCCGAAGCAAGTGTGGTAGTGTCCATCCCTAGATGCATCATCCATGCAAGTTTGGTCCAGGTAGGGCTTTTAGTTACTTGGGAATGGATCTGCTCCAAAAACTTTAACCTGGTCACTCATCTGGAAAATCTAGGTCAGATCCAGCATCCGAAGCAAGTGTGGTAGTGTCCATCCCTAGATGCATCATCCATACAAGTTTGGTTCAGGTGGGGCGTATAGTTCCTTGGGAATGGACCTGCTCCAAAAACTTTGACCTGGTCACTCATCTGGAAAATCTAGGTCAGATCCAGCATCCGAAGCAAGTGTGGCAGTGTCCATTCTAGATGCATCATCCATGCAAGTTTGGTCCAGGTAGGGCTTATAGTAACTTGGGAATGGGACTTGCTCCTAAAACTTTAACCGGGACGCCGACGCTAACGCCGACGCCAACGCCGGGGGTATAGCATAAGCTCATCTCGACTTCGTCGAGGTGAGCTAAAAAGTAACGTTATCAATAATTAGAGTGCACTAATTGGAATTTTTTTTAATTGTTTACTCTGAAGCATTATTTTCTATCTCACAACAATTTGTTTATGTTTTTTCAACTAAGAATTGATTGATTGTTTGTTGGTTTACTTCCCTTGCGCGAATTTTTCACTCGTATGAGACGCCACCATATACCGATGAACGACGACATAAAAATATACACATATATATATACATCAACATACATATGTAAAGGCATATTCCAGTCCCCATTAAAGTAATTTTGAAAATCTCTTGAAAAGTACACAATTTTATATTTTGTATAAAACAAATCTAATTTAACAAAATCCATTATTGATAGAGAATAAAAAATATTAACATCCTTGTCTCCATGTAACAAACTGTTGATCTCTCCCGTTATTTTAAAAAGAGACAAAAATGCATCAATTTTTTTCCTCCAATTTTGACTCGAGTTTTTATAGAGTGCAAACCTGCTCAGGAACTACTTTCACACATTTTATTGATATCACCATTCTACACATAAACTCCAAAAATTGAGTTTGAGCAGACCTGCATTCGATAATTTTCCAATCAAAATACACTATTTTTAAAAAAATCAGTTAAATGTTGAATTTGCCTCATTTTTGACTTTTTGATTTATTTGATATTTGATTTATGACGTCACAATGGATGAAAGTGTTTAATGTTTTGAAATGTGCATGTAATAATAATAATAATAATATTTATGGCTTAGAACATGAGTTTTCCCTATCATCTATTACCAGTTTGACTGGGGGGGGGGGGGGGGGAGGGGGTGGATACTATTAGTTATTCAGGTTCAATCAAAGTTGTACAGGAACTTACCCCGGGCTATATTCCATACACCCTGAGGCCTTTGGACCTTGATAGCGAATTTATTTCCTATGTAACCAAATTAATTCATTGTAAAGTTAAGTCGAATCAATGAAACTTTAAACTATTGATATAATTTATTGCTACGTTCTACAATGCATCGTGACTTAACGTTATCTGTTTTTGTGATACAGAAACTTTGCATTGTGACCTCACGTTATCCCCTCGCCCCAGGTTAAGTCAGGTGTACGGAAATTTACACCCGGCTTGCTAACCAAACATATCTCGTTTTACAAGCAAAATAGGAAATAATGGTAATTACCAAATAAAGTCTTTTAGGACTTTACTCGGCAATCAGGGCTACTGAGCAATGAGAGTTTTTATTGTGCCAACGCCAAATGTGACATGGGGCCTCGGTTTTTAAGCTCTCGTCCGAAAGAACAATTACTTTCACTTCTAGTGCTTGGCGAAGGAACAGTCACTACCTACGTTTATGTCTTAGATTTGATGCGGCAATGGGAACGATATAATCAAATCTGGTATACCTCCCGATCAAGAAGCTGTCGATCTACCACTTGACTTCCGCTACCGGTAAACTAAGAATTGATAAATCCTATCTAGTATTCTAAATAAATCAAATTTTAAAGCTAGTGAATAGTAATTTTCACAATGTTTATGAGGAACATTTTTAGTGTATGAAGAAGAGCAGTAAATGTACTTTCAGTTATAAAGTTTTGTTTTAGACCAAACCTGCTCACCGTACTGCTTTTAAACGTAAAGACTGTGGAGTATATCCGAAGTCACCGTTGACATTTAACTGATCCACAACTGCCCTGAACATACAGTTACCATCGGGAATTACATCCTCGAGCTCAAACCCGTTGTCAGAGGCAAACTTCCAAATGGACTCCATAAATGTTGGAAGGTTGGCATATTGGCTAATTCCCTTACCTACACAAATAAACAAAAAAAAGAAAGATTTGTTAGTTGTTGAACGTCCCTCTCGAGAATTTTTCACTGATATGGAGACGCCACCACTTGCCAGTGGGGGCTGCGAATTTAAACCTATACTCGGCACTTAGGGCCATTGAGCAGTGAGGGATCTTTTTCGTGCCAGCACCCACTGCAACACGTGACCTCGGTTCATACGGTCTCATCCGAAGGACCGGTCTCCACGTTCCGAAATGGGGTTCAAATCCGCGACGTAGGGGTCAACTCCTTACACCGCGACTCTAAAGCAAACGCTCTTACCACTGCGCCACGCGGGCGACAAAAAAAAAAGAAAGAAAAAAGGAAAAAGTTACAGAATACATGTATTTGTTTCGTATTTTTTCTTCAATTATGACGACTGTTCAAGGTAGCTCAGTCGGTAGAGCGCTCGCTTCGTGATCGGGAGGTCATGAGTTCGAATCTCGGCCGCGACTGACCTAAGTCGATAAAAAATGAGTAGCAGCTGTTCCTTCACCATGCGCTCGGCACTTTGAAGTGAAAGTTGTGGGTCCTTCGGATGAGACCTTAAAAACCGAGACCCCGTGTCACAGCAGGCGTTGCCACGATAAAGATCCCTCACTGCACAATGGCCCTAATTGCCGAGTAAAGATCAAAATTTGAAGCCCTTCACCCGTATATGGTGACGTCTCTATATGACTGAAAAATTCTCGAATGGGAACATACAATCAATCAATCAATTATGACGAAGCCTTAATAAATTTAAATTTTATTTATTTATTAATACATGACTATCAGACTGATTACTTACTATATCGCCCTTCTTTCCCACGAACCCCTCCTGCACTGAATACTTTCTTTACTGACCCTGGTATATTTTCTGGTAAAATATTATCAAAAGTATAATAATCATAGATTTCGTCAAATTCGTCTTCGTCCAGTAGTACGTCATCGATGTCATCAACATCATCCTCGACAGCTCCTTCGGAGTCATCCTTTATATGGATTTCTTCTGAGGTTGGGAGATTTGTCATGCTTGGGGTATTCTCTGTGCTATTTGTATCTTTATGTTTATCTTTTTCTACTTCATATCCAATTGCGTCAGAAATGGGTTGCGTAATCATTTTATCATTTCTGAGATCTCTGTTTGGATCAGGCTCGTTGATCTGAGAAATTTTATCGTCATTCATTGGTTCTTCATTTTCTAATTGTTCTGCTGTCTCAGTTAAGATAGTATCTGGTGTTTTTTCGTTGGTACAAATGTTGGAGGATTGCGGTTTGATCTGATGAATCGCAGTGGCATCAAATGATTGTGTCTGAGATGATTTTTCAGAGTTTTCTGCAGATGATTCCGATTCCTGTGCTAAGGCATTCAATTTAATTTCTTTTTTCCTATTATTAGTTTGTGAAATACATTTTAGTTTCTTAGGATTTCCCATTAATAATAAATTAACTGGACAATCTTTTGAATTACAAGGACACATTGAAGCTTGATTTGAAATATATGAATTATCTCCATCTACTTCTAGGTCCTCTTCTTCTTCATCCTCATTCCGAAAAACATTCCGTATTTCTTCTTCCTCTTTAATTTTTGAATTTTCTTGATCTTTGAACCAAATACTATCTAGAAGTCTCTCAGAACGAATGGACGTTTTCTCAATCAGCTGGGAATTGAGTAGTGAATTGTCAGCATTGTTTGATGAAATCTCGCTGATCTTTGCTGAATAACCATTATCAAACTCGTCTTTGTCATATTTGTCTTCTAATTTGTTTCGTTGTTGTCTTGGAAATGAATTCGGTGAGAACAAACTGAGAAGGAAAAAAGGACGCTCAGTGGCACCAGTTCCTTCAGCTCTTGTTCTGTTGAAGTTTATTTTTATATAAGTGGAGTTTAAAACAAAACAGTATGATAAAAAAAACCGTAAGTAAATCATTAAAAAACTAAAATGTATTCGTCTACAGTATTGGATGGAAATTTCAAGTTTTTATTTTGAATTATAGAGAGGTGATAAAAATGAACCTTAAAGTCACTGTATTTTAATTTGACATAACAACACAATGACAGACACTTAACAAATAACTCATTTTATACAATTATGGACTCTTTCGGTTGTGAATATGGTTTGTTATTCACCAGAAAAATTTCAATATTGACCGAGGCGAAGCCGAGGTCAATATTGATATTTTTCTGGTGAATAACAAACCATATTCACCACCGAAAGAGTCCATAATTGTTTTATTATATAGTCAGGATTTGAATGAATAAGACACCGAAGGCTGCATGACGATTCCATTTTCATTAACGAACTTCTGTCGTATAAAAATAAATAAAAAATGTCCAGATTATAACTTATAACTTCCGTGTTTTGCTTTTGCTGTGTGTAAGACATCGAAATGTTTGGAAAATAATTCTACGAGAAATTTGCCTAAAAGTTTTCCTGCTCAGATATACAGCATGTACAGCTGGCTCCGGCCGTTGCAACCATTGTTTTCAACGTTGTTTTAGGTATTGATTGTGACGTCACGATGCCGCTGCACGCGCACTGACCCTCCGGTGAATACGGCTTCAAATCCAGTGAATATGTAATATTATAAACTGTTTGCGCTTGTATGGATTAAAAAGGGACTGTTTATAGACTATATTATAATAGTATGACTTGATTGTTGTATGTATTACATTTTTAGTTTGTTGCACGGCGCTTGTTTTAAAATGTAATAAAAAGTAATAAAACACCATCCTATATAGTGTTCAAATTTTCAAAATAATAAACATCGGATTATGTCATATTTTAAGTGGTGACTCTCTCTCTCTCTCTCTCTCTCTCTCATGTGTCGTGTGAAGAAACTTGAAATTCTCGGCAAAGTAACGTATCTAATATTACCCAGAATGTGGTCTTGTGTTCTGTTGAAGCAAACGCAATACATCCTCCACACTGTATCTGTTCATAGCGCAGTCCGGTTAACTGTGGACGTTTGTCAACAATTCTGGTTGTTTCACTGAAACCTTCCAATGTTTCTACAAAACACATCTTAGAACGTGGAAAAAATGATAAAAAACCTTTTCTCATTATCCTACTAGTATAAAATCTGCCAAATACATTATATTTAATTATACATGGCTTCTCATTGAACCAATCGCTGCTGATATTAATATTTTCGTCTTATTTGTCTTATTCTATGTATTAATTTTGTTGGTTACTGGTATTCGTTTTCCTCACAATATTATTAAAATTTATATACAATCAGAGCGTCTCGATCACTGGATAACACAGTGTATACAGGATACAACCGCTATTCTAATACGGCGTTCTATAATTATGTAAACAATGGAGAACGAAAGATAAGGAAATTGTTTTATTAAAACTCATAGAATTTTAACTGTAGAAATTCACACTGAAAACTTTATCATAAACGAAATGAAAATTTTTTGATTTCTTTGAGACTATAAGTATACTTTAAGGATGTTCATTTTACCTTTCTTGTTTTCCTGTCAAAATGAGCGAAACGAAACAAGGACTTTTACACTGAAAATTTACAAGTCTATAAATAGAATAGAAAAACAATCATGACAAGAGTTGATGCCCTTTCAACACAAATATGCGATCTACGTACATGTATCCAAAAATAGCGAATAAAGTAGGTTTGGGAATTCATTTCTTTTTCATATTGCTGTTAATGCAAAAAGAATAATATCTTTGTAAAGCAGCTTGAATAAGTTGTTTTGATTAATTTAAATAAGTAAAGTTGTATGATTGTATGAAAAAGGTGAAGATAATAAATAGTGATCGCTCTAATAAATAACAAGAATCATGAAAGGGACAAAAACACGGACTCATGGAAACACCAGAGGACAGGTCATGTATATAAAAATATGAAAATGTTCCAAAGGTAAACAATGTAAGATTCACGTGTTGTATGAATTGTCAACAAAGAAGATAAGAAAAGTCGAAGAATAAAGAAAATATGAGACTCTGCTGATAATATTGATGAAAAAGATAACAATGGACAATCAGTTCATTAAAGACATTAGCAGCTCGAGAAACAAAGGTCTAAGTCCATGCATATTTCCATGAATATTCCGGCAATAATTAAAATAAAAGCACGAGACTGAACCAAATATAGGACAAGGAAATAATGACAAACCAATATAGTGGATTACAGAATTAGAGTGAAAAGGGGGATTGTATGAAAATCCTACAATCGTTGATTAGTTTTAAATACAAAATCAAGTATCATTAGTGATGTATTATTTTTCAGATTTATCTTTAATTTTTTTTTAGAGAAAAAGTGTCTTTTTTACAGGACCTTTTCTATTATAAACTCGGTGTTTGCTTTTGAGAGATTCAAGTAGTGTAGATCGAAGATTTTTGTAGTTAGTTAGTAATGAGAGAATTTTACAGATACAGTATTAAGCTCTTTTGCCAATACAATGTACACAGAAAACAAATAAAGATCTTGATACTCTACATCTGCAAAACGTCATGTATAGAAAGATCGATTAAGATATGAAAATTATACAGAGGGCTGACGCAAAGATATAAAGTCTCCGAAACACGTGGCATGCTGTGAAATGAGACTACATTGTTTTTCTTCCAAATTGTGGGAAGTAAATGCACACAATTTGTATTTTGAAATTGATTTTTTGTTTTATTATTTAAAAAAACTCTTAAAATATTGAAAATTTTATAAGTGTTTCAATTTCATTGAGATTATAAAGATACAAGAATGAAAAAATGATTTTCGTCATATTAACATATACATATGTACATATACTCTATAAAAATGCACAAATATCTTGTTATTACAACTTTATGAAATAACATAAAGGTATCTCTTTATTGTGCATTGGTATGCATTTATGTGCAAATACGCAATAACCTTTTGAAAAAAAATACACAAATTAAAACAAAAATGAATATGAGTTTTAAAATTTATTATTGTTTTTAATCACTGAAAACAATTATCACGTAGATAACTTACAGGTGATGCTATTCTGCTTCATACTAGTCAGGCTATCTGCTTCTGACATCTAGTTTGAGGCCCCTGAACTGGACTCTGCTTGTCACTTTGCTGCTATCTGGCTACTGCTGGGTTGTTAAGTTAGCCATTGAAATCATCAGATGGTTTCCAACTGTCACTGGATGCTTCGACTCTTTACAAATATGACATCCACTAGTTGGTCGGTCAACAGCGGTGATCTTCTCACTGCGTGTCATGTGGCTTCCATTCCTTGGTCTCCCTTAGGTTCCAAATCCAGCACAAACCCTTCTCTGCCTCTTCATCTAATTTGTGTTACATCTCTGCTTCTATCTCTACCACTGATTATAAACCGAGGTCCCGTGTCGCAGTAGGTGCTGGCACAAAAAGATCCCTCACTGCTCAATGGCCCTAATTAAGTGCCGAGCATAGGTCAAACTTTGCAGCCCTCCACCGGCAAGTAGTGGCGTCTCAATATAAGTGAAAAATTCTCGAGAGGGAAGTTAAACAACAAATAAACAAACAAAATAAATGCTTTCGTCATTCTCCAGACAGATTGCACAGGGAATCAACGACATCGAACTTCTACTGGGAATGGCCATGTCTTCCATCCTTTAGGATCACATTGTTCTTTGAGTTCACAATACTTGGCACTCTTCCTCTCATGAGCTAAGTCGCAATCTTCTTCCCCGGTACTGTTAGCTCAGTGATAATGATCCTCTTGTCTGCAGACCACAACACAACCACTGTGTTTCTAAACCACATCAAGAAGAACGAGTTTCCCTCTGAGAAAAAAGTCGTTTCTTGCAGAATTCTGTCTTATATATGATAAATTCTAGAATATTCAGGGCGAGCTTTCTGGAGATTCGAGTAGTGAAAGAAGATTTATTTAATCATTTTACGAATAATGCTGTTTGGCAAATGCATAAAAACAACTTCTGCAAGTCATGTATAGGAACAAATGTTGTCACGATTAAACTCAAATTGATTTAAAGAGCAAATTACATACGGAAGGCTGGCATAAAGATGTAGCGTCTCCGAAATTACATTTGACATGTAAAAAAGAAAAAAAAAACAAAAACAAAAACAAAAAACAGTGGAATGAGACTATATACGAGGGTTGTCCCAGAAAATCGCGAACTTTTTCAATATTTTTCGTTTTGCAAATATTTTAAAGTTAAAAATTGGCATAATCAACATTTTTTTCATAATTCACTGAAATTTCAATAAAATATCTCTATTAAAACATTTTATCTCTGATAAACGAATCATTCAAAATAGCTCCGGTGCAACATGGACGACGTCAAAACCTGCATTTGATTTTTTTTAGTTGCCAAGTTATTTCACATGTACTACAGTTAAGAATAAATCAAGGAATTAATTCTTTTAATAGACAATTTCTCAACCCCGATCATAAACTTAACTGCTCGCATAGTTAACGGCAGTCCCCACGAATGACGTCCAGCTCTAAACTTTTCAGTTTGACGTCATTTTTGTTGGTCTACCAAACGCTTCTTCTATCGGATAACCAGTCCATCCATCTTTGAACCTCTTTTACTATGTATAAACCAGTGTTCGATAGATGTATTTGTGTCGTTTCTTCGTTCCAGCTCTTTTCCCGTATTAACAGGTGTCATACCCTGCTCCACACAGTACTGAGTGATAATTTGGTGCTCCGTATTATCGCCCAACGTCGCCGTTTTTGACAATATCTAACTAATAGTATTTGGTCATATAACGTCATATTTTTGTTATTTATGATGTCAAAGTATTAATTTTTTACACAGTTTCTATTAATGTAATTTTTGTCACATTATATTTCCGTATAGCTTTGTAATAAAGAAAACGTAGATGGCAATGCTGTTTTGAAAGTCAAGAAATTGCCGTGCGCCGACCACCGATATTTAACACCCTTTAAATGCTGTTTCTAAATGCATATGGCATTCCAACCTTACAGTATTTGGTCAAAATGACGAAAATATCATTTCCTAACATTGTGCCAAAATGAATAATTTTGGTAAGGTATTTTATGAAATATTTAAAAAGTTTGCTTTTTTCTGGGACAACCCTCGCACAGTGTATGTTATGTCTTCAAATCAAATATCGAAAATGGTATGTTGTTTGATAATTGAAAAACGTCTCTCAAATTATTGTTAACTTTCTAGGACTTGTTTAATTTCATTGAGTCTATAAAAACATTTCAAAGGAAATAAATTTTCATCAAATAAGCATACACGTGTATATCTATAACAATGCATAACTTCACCTTTTAATAAAACAACTTAAGTATCCATTTAATATTTAATGTATTAATATGCATTTACACGCAAACATACAAATGAACTTGTGAAAAAGTACCCCATTATTAAAATTTCCTTTTTATTTGCTTTATATAAAAAGCAATTTAAATAATGATAATCGATTTAATAAATTTCGAATCATAGAAACACAAAATCAAAATGAAGTCCATATCAAGCCTCGTACGTCTTCACCATCTTCTTTTCTTTATCTATATCTTGCTTACTTTATTTGGTAAGATTTAATAAATGACAAGATATGGCGATTTTGACCTTGTTATCAAACCAAACTACTGGAAAGAACGCAATTTCATTTACCTAAAGAAGTCTTCCTATTGAGCAAAAATCCTGTGTTTTAATATTGACTTTGGTTTACGGAAAATCTTCCATAAGTCGGGCTTTCTTCAATGAATTTGATACATTAAATAAACTGGTAATGTCGTCCATGCCAAAGACACCTGGTCCTCGAGAAGATCGAGAGGAGATGTAGAACTTGTTACAGACGATAGTTTGAGAGGTCTTACAGAAGACAATGACCTCGTGTCATTAAACTAACATCTAATTTGGAGCTTCCGCAAAACTGCGAAGTAACGGTTGTTCAAACATACAGTTGAAACCGTTACATTTAACCTAAGTCTCCAAGTGTTTAAACAAACGAGAGGGGATTAGCTTGAAAAGTTTCAAATACACAATTCAGTGATTTTTAAAGAAATGTAATTATTGACATGAACTGAGCGGGAGAAGGCTGGGGATGGCCATGTATATTTTCATATGGATTCATGTTATAATTGGTCAATAGGAACAGTTATTCAGAGGCAGCTTAATTAAACTTAATGGATTCGATTTACAAGCAGTGGCCTGCGGGGATTGTTTGACTATAAGTATTAAATGGGGGAAAAGATTCATAAACCCTTTTCATTTCATAAGTGAAACATTTACATGCGACAGTGGTTTTTGCACAATGGTGCACAAACAGCATGTCGGAGATAAAGACGGGAGAACAAGGAATATAGAGGTTTTGAGTAGTTTAAGTCTTAATCACAACAGACAACGATCAGGAGATCACAGAAAAGATAGGAGAAGTAAAAGTCACCCCCATGTTAGGGTCAAAAACCAGCTTCGATACCCGTCCGACGGCGACATAGGAAAATTTCTTAAAGTGTCTTCAGATGAAAATCTTCCACGACTTCCTTTCCTAAGACCAGGGAGTGAAGATGCTATAGCAAGAAAACGCAGGATTCTGCGAAAGTTTAGCACATCTTACAATATCTCAAAGAAGTTTTGGAATAAGATTGTGGACGAAAACCGGGCAGATGAGGGTCAGATGGAACGTTGGTCTAAGATAAAATCAACGGTTTCCTTAGGGACCGTAATTTCTAGAGCATTTGGCGAAAGTAAGGACAAAAAGAAAATCATCAATCCATTCAAACTTAGACACGAAATCAAAAAGGTAAGTCAGTTTCTGTACAGTATTTGTTTGGAATATCCATACAACGAAGGTATTTTGTATAGGTTTGGAAATTATAAGTGAATCAGTAATTGTTATTTTAAGTTAAAATATATATATATATATATATATATATCTATATCTATATCTATATATATATATATATATATATATATATATATATATATATATATATATATATATAAAATCAGATAGAACCTGTCAAAAATCTAACTCTCATTGAAAAAATATCTTTGAACTTCTTCTTACAGGAATAAAAAAGATTTTTAATTTCACGAATCTCAGTTATATTTTAAATATTTACTATATGTTATTTCTTTTATTGTCCGAACAACGTAAAGAAATTCAAATTCTTTATACAAGTTTTGTTTGCATATGTGTTATTTTTCTGGTTAGATAACTTATAATACACCCAAATTTCTAATCAAAATTAACGGAATATTAATAGATATAAAACGTAGTTTAATTAATTCGACTTGTAGAGCATTTATTTTTTTTAACGAAGCAACACTTATAAAACCCACTACTTATAAATACTCGATTTTTCTCCCTTTTTAGTTGTCATATGCTAAAGAAATCATCCCCAAAACCTGATTTATGTTTACATTGATTTTTCATATTGAGATATGGAAGCCACTAAAGTAAATACTGCTTTGTGTAAAATTATTTGATGTCCATTGCAAGGTTTTGTGTGCACAATGGTGTAATACAAAGGCTCCTCTCCGAACATATCTAAAATCTTTTGTTTTATCCTTCGATTCGCTGCCGAATTTCGAATTGACCGTTCCATCGCCAAAAGCTTGACATAAGATGTTGATGTCATACATGTTTTAGAGAAGAGCTTAAAAAGCCGTGATGATGATGAAGAAGCTTTCAATGCATATGTTTGAATTAAAGGAAATTTTGCACTTCAACCAGAGTTGGAGAATTTTTATAGGAGTGAAAATTTTACTGTTTCATCTAATATTTTTTGATGTCCATTGCAAGGTTTTGTATTCACAAATGTATATTACAAAAGCTTCTCTCTGAACTTATCAAATACTAGTACCCTTTGTTCTATCATTTGATTCGATGCCGAGTCAGACTAAATGATTTTTAAAGTTTTGAAAGTGATTGTTTTAATCTATTTATACGGACGTTTTACTCCAAACTTCAGTCAATCAAATAATTAATCAATTTATTGGATGAATGATTTAATTGATTTATTTTGCTTGAGGAGACATAAGTGAAAATTAAAGAAAAGGAGGAAATTTAGCAAAAAAAAAAAAAAAAAAAAAAAAAAAATTCACCAAAATTAATTAGAAATTTTGATTTACATAGGTGCCACATAGGTGAATATGTAATTTTACAGAGCCTTTTACTTACTTTTTAGAAAGAGAATGGTTTGACTAAGATTAGACACGTTTAGTTTTAGGGTTACTTGTTCAAAGGTCAAGACCAAAGCTCAATTTTATTTTGGTAGTTGTGATAATATTCATATGGCTTTAACAAAATTCAGTATTTCAGTATGTTTAAAACTAAAACGGACATTTATATACATATGTGAATACTAGTACGAGAATGACATCTATAGATCTTCATTCAAAGTTCAAGTCATTCTTTTAATCATATGGTACAAAAAATAAGTTTCTTCAAAATTATTATGATACCCATAAATTTTCTGATGCCACTTGTTCAACATCAGGGTCAAAAGTCAACGTCGTTGTAATAATGAAATATATGCAGATAACGAACAGTATTCAGGCTCAAAAGTCCATCAAAAAATACAAAATAGGAGCAGAGCAAACACGGACCTCCAAACATCAGAGGTGGGATCAGGTGCCATGGAGGAGTGAGCATCCCCTGCCGACCGGTCACACCCGCCCTGTGCTCCTTGTCATGATCGGGAAATAACGGAAAAATCCGTCGACAATTCAGTGTGTAAATAATGGCCTAACAATTTGTATGAAAAACGTCAGTCAGCATTTGACTTAATGATAAATTGTGTTTGCTTTCAAGGTCATTGTATCGACCATAGAACTTACGAAATGATGACTTTAAACGAGACAGCTGATATTCTTGTTTCATCAACTTGTTTGTCAATAATTTACCTCGTTTTAGAAATTGTACATACGTAGAGCATGCTGCATTCTAATAAGCATGTTAAATATGTTAAGCATGTTAATATAAGTATAATAAGCATAATAAGCATTCTACGAGGCCTGTGTAATTTTGTAAGTTTTTCAGTTTCATCAGCAAAACTATTTTTACAAATATAACAAATGTACAGCAATTGTCATACAAATAGGCAAATATTTTTAATGCTAATCCCTTTTTATTTTTTTTTAAAAATGTAAGAAAGAATACAGTATAATGATGCAAACAATTATTTTTATTTCAATGCCTTTTTCAAAACTGTTACCATGAAATCTATGTTTTAATACTTCCCCTTACATGTAACATGTAAACGTGAATCTTCAAAGAAATTCAATCGATGACCTGATGCAATCGATCCGTCGGTTTGTGTTGTTTTTCTTGACACTAAAATCCTGTCAAAATCTTCCTTGATCCTCAACAAACAAAACACAGAGACCATTGGACAGCGACGTCTTATTTAAAATAATATGCTCTTTGTCTAGAAGTAGTAAACGATTTAAACTGAAATTTTAAAACCGTGTCTGGGTACGGATAAGCAGACATTAATAATGACTTGTTATCTTCATGTCTTACACAGGATGGATGGTGGTAATAGATATCTCAATTTCCGTACTACATAGGGATAAGAAAAATTCAAACGAAGAATCTTCACATTAACAATACGTTAAATAAATATCCCTGAATGCAAAAACTAAAGCGCGGTCATCATAACCATATTTCGCACAGTCGTGTCGTGCTTATATATCTTACAACATAAACAGTGGAATAGAATGGCATTGGTCATGAAAGTAAACTTATATTTCATAGTATTTCAACATAGAATTTTGTTGCCCTCCAAAGTATGCCTTATGGCGTCGTATTGGATGAAAATGTTTAATGTTTTGAAGTCTGCATATGATATTCTATATGAATTTGGAAGTGGTTTTCTTCCACATCAGACATGACATGTATTAAGATTGCCTACAGCTTCTCAGAAAAGTGTAATTTATATGTTCTTAACCTCTTCATTAAAATAATATTAAATTTTATATTATAAAAGGTATGGGATTACTTTTCACATAATTTGAAAATTACATTCCATGAAAATGCTTCGTTTTAAATAGATACGATAATAAAAATTATTTAAGGAATCGTTAGTAAATTACTAAATTTTGACGCTCTCCGTGACCTCATTTTCGGAGTTCTAATATTCAAATAATTCTGATTTTTTTTAAATTTCTTTTTCTTTTTTAATTTTTATTCATTTATTTATTTATTGCTATATACTTGATTTTTATGTTTAAAAAAATCATTGTTAAAGTAAGTCTACCAAATTTGGTTTTGTTATGACGTCCAATAAAAAAGATATGATAAAAGTCTGCGTATTTTTTAATGACCCTCACAAATCAACTTGTTACGAGTCAATAAAAGGCGCATCTCATTATTATTATTTTTGATTGCTGTTAAATTCAATACTACAAAACAAAAAGTTTAAGAATATAAGAACAAATGTCATTTGTTGTAATACACATACATCAGTAAAAAACATATACTTTAAGGATCACGGAGAAAACATAAAAAGAATAAAGTATTTATGAAACATTCAAGTATAAAATTATCAAAAACGTGTTTTCATTTAGTGCCTTATTATTCATCTGTATCGGCGTTCCAAATAAGGTCACGTGGTAAACACATGGTGGTATTAAATGAATTTATTTGCTGTGACGACATTACCACATACTATGTGAAGATGTGAATGTAGTTGAATAACAACATACATATACTCAATATGCTCTGTAAAATTTTATTTTTACTCTTTGGATTAATCATGACATTTCTGGACATTGTCTCAGAGCCGTGAGGTAACCCTGGTTGGATGTGTTATTTAATGACGATATTTATACTCTCTGTTTGTCAAACGTGAGAAATCGTCAGTTTGTGCTCTTCAATGATAGAAGAGATAGCTTGTTGTTAGTTTGATAACACTAATTAACGAGGGCCAGTTGTTAGCTCTCTCTCTCTAACTACAAACATACCTTTATATCTGATGAAGTAAGGTCAATAAACGAAATTTGTTATTGTTCCCCTTTGAGTTGTTATTCAACAGAAAGACAACAATATATTGAGTGGAAATATATTTTGTTCGATGTCCATCTTGTTAAATTGAACGGTAATTTGTTATGCGATACACATGTATATGCATGTTCATAAGTTTCCTATGAATGAATTAAACATATCTAATTGACAAGTAAAGGTCAAAAGGATTAGACACAAGTTCAGAAACTTACAAAGTCCTCTACTTATACAGAAATTTGTAAAATTAACATAATTTAATTGCTCTTGTATGATTTACTGCAAATACAAATTAGTTGTGTCAAAAAGTAAAATTTGATGAAAATAATTATACATAATCTTAATTTCTTTAAATAAAAATGGTAAATTCTTATTTATACGGTTTTAAGTAGACTAAAGTTTACAAATTCCAATATTTTTGATATAAATCAGTTAGATCGTACTTTCTTAAAGAAATGTACAAATAGGAACATTCAGATAGAAAGGATCTGCGGATTTTTATGCACTTAAAATTGAAAATATATTCAGGTACTGCTATCATTGTTAGGAGTTTGGTACATCAAAATCTTAATGATATACTTATTTTTTTTTTCAACTCTCCTACAAGATAATTTCTTGACAAATTTAAGATCATGATTGATTGCAAATTACATGACTTTTAAATTAAAATGCTTATTTCATTTAATTTTTTTATCTTGGTAGATGAAGTGCGAACTTGATACAAGTATTGATTACTTTTTAAATATCTGTTATGGTTAATATTGCAAATGTTATCATTAGTTTGCAATTTTCCATTGTACGAAGGCTATTTAAACATATACTTAATTACCTTTCATATTCTGAAAATGTATGTAGAAATAGAAAGAAATGCGTAACCTTTACCAAGACAAGTGTATTCGTACGCACAATAAGCTAATTCACAGATGATAAAGACTCTCATTAGATCGAAAATTCAAAACCCTTTTTCAAATACACACGTCAAAATTATCTCATTACTAGATGTATTCTGACAGATTCGTTGACGTCTGGTGCCGGTTTTCCCTTTAATGCTTTTGTAAAGCTCTCGTTTGAGCCTTGAAAAAGAACATAAGAGCATGCCATTTAGAACAATGCACAACATTGATTTCTATAGTATCGACACAAGCCATCAAGATTTGTTAAAAGTATCATCTTCATATGAACACACAAAAAGTAATGAGGACCCTTCCTTATGAAATACTGGTCCTGTTTTATTTTTTCACCTGTCAAAGATTATAGGTGGTCCAATGTTTTTTATCGTGTAATACACAGGGAACTACTTCATTTTAAGGGATTTACGTTTCTAATATATACTGTAAACGTTTTAAGTTGTCAAAAGGAGAAAGAGATATATATTGGACGTTTCCTTGTGCTGATTAAACAAACCATGTGTTTTATGTATGTTTAAAAGACAATAAAAGGTAATCAGATTTATATTAGAATATGGAGCACAATAAAGTGTTCTCTTCCTTGGACTTTTCAAGAAATTTCAACAAGCGGCACTCATATTATGCAGAGTATGCTGACATTAAACGAAGATTAAGTTTGGACAGCTCTAAAGAAAGAAAAGAAAAGGAGATCTATGACAAATATAAAAAGGAATTAATTGACAAACAAAAGCAGGAATTACGGACAAGACGTAGAAAATTGCCAACACTTTCAACCAATAGTTATTTTCTCGCCTTGGAGAGTGTTACAGAAGAGCGCGAAATGTCTCGTTCTCAGTCGTCTGCCGCAAACATGTCACGTGGTACTTCACCTGATAGAAAGAATATACAATCAGCAGCGACAGTAAAAGTTGCTGCATCAACCTTTAAGAGGCTCATTTCAAAAAGAATCGAAAAGAGACATACATACCCAAAACTTTATCACAGCCATAGTTACCGCGAAAGAGAGGCGCTCACGAGAAAAATTATTTCATTAAAAAAACTTGCTAGAACTGTGTATATAACTCTAAGGTGGTATCGGCTACATAACTTCAGGTAAGATTTATACTCGTAATATTGTTAATTTCAGAGAAAGCTTTATTCCTTGTTTCGATTTGCTGGTAGACTAACAATACTTTGTTCCCGTTTGGCCAAAACCCACAGTCTAAGGTAGGTACAGTATATATTCATAATATTTTTTTTTTACACTGGGAGTTTATATTTTTTCAATATGGTAAACGACAAATAGACCTTTTAAAACAAAATATTACGTTTAAGAAGTTTGGGATAAAACAGTGAAACTTAACTTTTTTAACTGATTTTTTTTTAAAATATTTATGCAGTTTGTGTATGTTTCCATATAAGATATTTTTATAATGTATTTCCAGTCAGTTACAGTTTCTTTTTTACACTATCATCTATTTGATCCACACTTCCTTGTCATTAAAATATATCTATTTTATCTTTGTGATTTAGTATTATATCAAAAAGATAAATGTGTTATTGCTAAAAATATCTGATACCTTTAACATTGTTGAAATAGAGAGAGTGGTAGGATGCAAATTAAAACTTTAACAGAAAGTAAAGCTGCACTGTATTATCAAATGTCGTTCCACATTTTTTTTCTTAACTGCTTAACTGAACATACATGTATTTTGCCAAACTTATTGAAAATACGATTTATAGGGGGAAATATCAGATTATCTAATGTTTTGTTGTATAGTTTATTTTTGAAAATTACAAAACAAGTAACATTTTAATATTATCAGGTTGTTTTCTGACATTGTTTTATTTTTTCAATTTATCAATAGAAATGTGCATTATGGCTACTAAGATAGCCACAATGCAGATTTTTTTAAATTGATAATTAATAATATGTGAGAAAGAAAGAAATATTACACTCTCCTGCATTATGGATTTACAATTTGAATAATAGAAGAGACCTTTTCTCGTATATTAGATTTCGAGAGGATGATGACGATATCTCGCCATACATTAAGGGACTTACATTCCATGATTATGATAACCAACCAGATCTCATGTTTGACAAGTCGCAGTACAAAGCCAAAAAGTCTGTAAGTACATGTAGGTCACGGGTCACGGCAATATTTTTTAAGTCCATAAATGCAGAAAGTTCTAAAAGTTCAAGAATAATATTTTGTAATTCATAATACATAATAATAAGTGTCAGTTTTTTAACTTAAGTAAATTTACAGTTTTAGTTACTTTGTTTGTAGAAAGAATTAACAAGAAACAGTGTCCTCTTAAAATCCACAGATCATCATATGCACCTCTTTTTAGTGAATACATATATTGACAGACTTTAGATACTTCTTATAGATTCGAGTGCCAGAAGAGACCAAGAGAATTTTATCTAAGCCTCCCTCACAGCGCACTGAACAAGAGCTCTACTCGGTAAATAAAAATTGGTCTCATTATTCTATTGAAAATACACCTTATAAAATTTATAACCTTGAAACATTTTCAGTGTAATTTTAATTTGTTGCAATGTTCAAACCGAAAAAATGATATACTATATTTGTCAAAAAAAGGCGTGAGAATTCAATGTCAAATAACCTTTTAGGCTCTTTTGACATTACGCAACATAGAAGCTTTTGCTGCATATCCAAACAGAATGCAAAAAATGATTGTTGAAGTTGGACAGTATGAGAGGTGAGTTTTAGGGGTTTATGTTCCCCTCCTCCCTTCTCTGTTGGTTTTGCTCGTTTAAACCTTCTTCAATGTTCATAAAAATGATACATATATTTTATACATATTTTTATTACATTTTTTACATTTTTCAACTCAGGTTTGAAGCCAAGCGGATTGTTGTAAGACAGGGTCATCCGGGTTCTTCGTATTATTTCATGCTCTCTGGTGCTGGTAAAGAATATATCTTACTTAATCATAGTTTCAGTAAATGGAAATCTACAAGTATAAGGATTGTCCATTAAGTTCGTAGACGATTGCTTTAATTTTCTTAACGATGACCTCACTGCCAAACGTGTACGATCATATTTTAATATAGACAATGATTTAGTAAATATTTGAAAATTAAAACAATACACAATATTTTATGAACTTTATAGGCGTAAATACTCTATGTATGCAAGCCACACAGCCCAGTATGACGTAAAGCTAGTTTTATGATGAGAACGTAAAAAACATGGATTTTGAATTGACTATGTTGATGGAGACACGCTACTTTTTTTTCTATGTTATTCCACACTGCGAAGTGCATGTGGTAATATTTACGAGGGCTGTTCAATAAATTATGTCCTCGGTGCTCGGAAAGAAACAAAAAACGCTTTTCAATGATTTTGTCTTAATGATTTCCCTTAAATATGCTCCTTTAATTAAAAACACTTGTCTGTAACATTTTTATCCAATTCCTAATTGTGTTAGTTCAAGTTTGGAAAATGAAACAAGTCGTAGGGTGAAAGATCTGGCGAATATTGTTGGTGTGACAAAATATTAACTTTCTGTTTATCCCAAAAGCTCCTTTACTGTTCAAGACGTGTGGGTTTGGACGCTGTCATGAAGAAAATTAATGTAGTAGATTCCTGATTCTGGTTCCTTCTTATCATAAACCTTTCGAATTTTTTTGGCAAAAATTTTGCTTTCTAGACTCGTACAGAAATTAAACGGCCTCCCCAAATAAGAATCTGAACAAGACCACTACTATTAAAGAAAATGGCAATAAAACTTTCTTCTTGCTCTTGCAATTCTTTGCTCTTTGCAGACCTTTGCTAATTTGGTCATGTGCATCTTGTTGTAAATTTTCCTTTGGGGTTCAAAACAATGGATTCAGGTTTCATTCTCTGTTAGAATTTCAGACAAACGTGGATAATTACAATTTCTGATTTTTAAAAATAATTGTTTGGATTTTGTGACACGCTGTCGATTTCACTCATTTGTCAAAACATAGGGTGACCATTGAGTACAAAGCTTTTTTACTGTCAAATGTTTTTCTTTAAAACAGTGTGAACTACCCCCAAAATTATGCCTACTAAATTTGCTATGCGTCTTGAAGTAAATTGAAACATCATCAATGATAATTTGTTGAATTTTGGCAAATATTACATTGGTTTTGTTAGTCCTTGTCGCCAAGGATGGTACCCATTTTGTATGCCCATTTTTATCATTTTTGATTATTGAAATCTACCCACTCAAGTGTCTATAAAACAAATATTGGTTGCTGTAAACATCATGTATTTCAGTTAATATTTCTTTCGCATTCTTAACAAGTTTACAACAGCTTTACATGAAGCGTATAACTTCACTCTCGTTAACTGATTCTTTATCATTCATTTTTAATGGAGTGTCTCGAATAGCTCTTCCTTTCACAATGAAACTATATGATGAAATGTGGTCACATAAACGGTTATCAATTTATTAAAGATTCAATCATGAGAGAAAGCCAAGGATAATGTAAAATATTTTCTATGTTGTACGTTATAGAGTTCAGGACATAATTTATTGAACAGCCCTCGTATAAACAGAGCATAACTGAGTAAAAATTTAAAAATTCAAAATAATATATGTTAATTTACTAGCATCATCAGTATATAAACACTTTGTGTACACTGAATGCTTAGCCTAGTCCGACGGTGCGCTAGATTTATAACAACGTCGTGAATAGGGATATCCCATTTCCATCAAATAACAGTGATTTTCTACTTATTGCTGTGTCTCCCAAATTATGCAAACCGTTGAAAAATCCTATATACCAAATCGATGAACTAAATATATTCCAATAATCTTCAGTTGTTTGAATAATCATTTTGTCTCTGGTGTCGTTTCAAGCATATTAAAACTTAGTTTTATGATTGGACCTGTTCCATTCGGATTGCCAAATCAAATTTTCAGTCAATTTTTGAAGAAAAAAAATCGTGCTTTTTTTTGTTTTTTGTTGTTTTTTTTTTTATTTTTATTTTCACTATTTGTCCAGTGAGCGATACTTAACATATCAGAAAATGATGATTGCCGCTTTATATGCGACACTTTTATTTATTTTTTTTAATTAAGCTTTGATTTGTTTAGAAAGAAAATAATCATAATCCGAAAACTTTATTTCAAAGATTATTGGATTTTATCCCAAGGCTGTGCTAAAATTTGCAACTTTTAAAGGCTGTGTTTTTTACAAAAAAAAATATTAAGTTCAAACAATCAAATCAAAACCAAACCATTTTAATTTTTATAACAAATAGTTTGGTATACAGTAAGTATTATATCTATGACCATTCGGTTTGACAAAGAAGTCAATGACCAGGAACATTATAGACAACCCTCGTATATTGTAAAATTCCTACGGAATATATACTTTCAACAATAATATGTTTCAATGAGACTTAATTTTTTCATCTTTTTATTGTGAGAAAACTTTCAAATGTCCAGTATTATTAAAATGCATCAAAAGATGTAAATAAGCACTGAATTTATTGTAAACAATGTGATATTTTTAAACTATTCTTTGGTGTCATAGAAAGGCATGCAGAAAAAGGCTGAAATAATTGCATTTTTTCAGCTGTTGTCATGGTAATGGAAGATCCAAATTCATACGCCCGTCCCATCAAGCATCTAGAGAAAGGAATGGACTTTGGTGTAAGTAGTCCCAGCTCAAATTGGAATATCATCGGCGATATATTTAGCTATGCATTTTAAGATTAACCTTTCTACACACGTGTGCTACTTACAATAGTTTAAGAAAGAAAAATTGTAAATCATATGCTATAATGTGTGAATATTCCACCGTCGTACGCACCTAATCCCATCTCTGTTCACGATTCATTTTGATTCCTGGATTTATGAGATTGATCACTGTTTGTTATTTTCACATTTTATATATTTTCAGAACATGGATACTATAATATTGTTATAAAGAATTATTTTGATGAAATAATTTATGTCATATATATATATATATATATATATATATATATATATATATATATATATATATATATATATATATATATATATATATATATATATATATGACTAAAACTCTACAATTAGGACATATACTAATATATGATTAAGAGGAATTATGAAATGAGAAATGAAACCGTAATTTTGTTATTATAATGATGAAGAGATTTCAATAAAATACCACAATTCTTTCTCATTTACAAAAATCCTCAAATGTTATTTCCAATAACTTATTCCTGTTCCTTCTCATATGACTCGTAACTATTTTTAGTATTAATTTAATCATTCTATTTTTAAAGATTTAACTATGATAATGATGACAATAATCTATCTTCAATATTCCCCTTTTGTATAGGAAATTGCCTTGACCTTAAACATCAGGCGACAGGGGACTATCATTACAAAAGAGCCCTGTGAACTGATGAGCATAGGCAGGAGAGACTATCAGCGGATATTCATGGCGGGAGGTGTTCGCAGTATTCAAGATCCCGACCAGGAGAAATTCCTAAGGTACAGTGTTGACACTTGGGATTAAATTTGACCCGCATTAGATGTACCTTCAAGGGGATCTAAAAATACACGGAGATATTTAAATAAGAGTGTGTGCAATTTACAGCGTTTCCTTTGAGTATCTGGGGTATCAAAATACTTAGTTTTGATACGGTGAAGTTTATTTAAGTACGTTTGCTTTTTGTCCAATGGTATTAAAGAGAAAAGGGTTTAATAATGTTTCTTATATGGCCGTAATTTTTCAATGTGTTTAAACTCCTTTTTCTTTATTGATGGAGTTATAAAGAAAATTATACTCAAGTAGTTTGCTTGCGTTATAAACTTTAAAGGTAACATTTGCCTTCAAAATGCTTCAAACATTGGTTAGAAAATAATTACATAATTATACTATAAAAAGATTTACTTTGTTAAACATAAGTGAATTGTTCCACATAATCTAAATTTTATTTTTTAAAAGCTTGGAATTAAGGAAGTACATGTATTTTTCTTGTAAATCATACCGTTTTATTGATATATTAATTATGTTAGATGTTCTATCATATTCTGTTTCAGACATTTACCATTCCTCCATAACTGGCCAATACACTTGTTACCAGATGCAGGAGACAAAACACATTTTCTGTTTTTCAAGTAAAGTTACTACTTAAATGCTACATAAATATAAAACAAATATTGTACTATGCCGGTACGAGGTGGCCGCTTTTTAGATTACGCAATTTTTTTTTTGAAATTCGCATAGTTTTAAGAACAAAAATATAGCAAGTAATTTACCCCCTTTCTTCCCCGAGATATTCTGATAAACGAGGTTAAAGGACAATGAATTCATAATTGAAGAAAATTTGTGTCAAATTTTATTCTTTCTTTTAATGAAATTCAATCCCAATAAATTAGACATTTCTAATTTTATATGCAAGATTAGGAAAATAAATTGCAAAATCTAGAATGAAACAATTTTTTTTCTTCATGTAATTGATATAACACTTTTTTCTCTTGCTTCAGACGTGGTGCCACAATTGTAAAGGAAACAAACCTCTCACAATGGATTGTCATCGTTAAATCGGTATTTATCTTAAGATTTGATATATATTTTTGTATGGGGGAGGGTGTGTGTGTGTTTGTGTTAACAATGGGCTACATAAAATTCTCTTACCTGAGGGGTTTGTTGAATACATTTAAAGATCATTATATTATTGCAATGTATACCCTTGGAAAGTTGAAATAGTATTAGTAGCATTTATTTCAAGAAGAATTTAAAAAAAAATAATTTCCGAATAAGATTGACTTGGCCTTTATGTGTCATTTGTAAAATAATATCATTAATAGACTGATTTAAGTTCTTGTTCATTACTAATTAGGGAAGCATTAGTATACTCAAGAGATTAAAAAGAGTGGTGCCATTTGAATGGAAACAAAAGAGTAAGTAATTTCTGACATTAAAAATTTGTTAAAAGTAAATTACTTTTTCCCTTTTGATTACTATTGTATTTCTCTATAAATGGAAATCGACAAACAAAAGCATACTTGAACATTCAAGAAAAGTCTTCTTAAATGTTCATATATCAATCCATTTATCAAACAGAAGAGATCAAGTTTGTGACGGAGAAAGAAAAGCGGGATAACTACGCCAAGCGTCTCGTGCTCAGACGTCATATCCTCTCGGAATTGAAAATCCCCCTCAAAGGAAACTCGGTGGATGATGAAGATAATCAGTTTGAAGACTTTCCTGGAAAATACAAAATATTTATCCACCCAGGAGAGGGGCCAAATGTTGAGAGTTCTGAGACAACAACACCACTTGTTGATGGTTTGCCAGATATCAAAGAAAATAACTCAAAGAAATCATCTTTTCAAAATATTCAGAGAAGACTTCTACCAAAATTATCAGAGACTTCTAGGGAGGAGAATGAGGAAGACAATCCTTTGTTTTCTAATATGAATAAATCAGAAAGACATCCCGTGTTTGGAATACAAAGGGAAGAGACCTCTTTTGATATTTTAGCACCACTGCCATCAAAAAAGAAATTGCAAGAAAGACAATGTAAGAAATTTTTTTCTTGCAAACTATGTTTTATTCTGTTCTTTGTCATACTTCATTTGAATTCAAATTTGTATTTGAAATGTTACATGGAAATTGCTACTTTCAACACAGTTTGATCCAAATATGGCTTTTATAAATCGTTTTACAGCAAATCGGAGAGAAAGTATATTAGAGAAAGAAAGGGAAATGATGGGATTCGAGGAGAAAACTCGCACTGTTCAAGATGACCTTGATAATGTTGTTAAGGTAATATTTTTGAATATTTTTTGTTTGTATTTATTCAAAACGTCCTCTCCAGTCAACCATTAAATATTAACTGTAGATCACTTCAAGCACACTTGTAATGGTGAAAAGAATTCTTTAATTACTGCATCGTAAAGAGTCGTTTCAGCTTCTGAAATTTTATGAATTTTTGAAAATACCTTACTCGCAATACTTGGCTGTTTTATCATGGGAAGAATTAAAGTAAGTCAGCTGTTGAAATAAGAACATACAAAAAGACTGTGCTAAACTCAAAATCAGCGAAAGAATTTTTTTTAAAGAAATACCCAATGTATATGGAAACTAACAACGGTTAAACAAAATTTCCAAGATTGCACAAAACGTTTTTAAAATGATGCAAGATCTGGGATATAGAAAATCGTTAGCAGTGCCAATCAAGCTGAAGTAAAGGATTGTGTAGAAAAAGAGGGAAGGTACACTGTAAAAGACTAAAAGTGGAGTAGTGATATCAATGGGAGAAATTCATAAAATTCTTAAAAGATGCCTTGGATACAGAAAGTTTTCCGCAAGTTGGATATCCCATTTACGGAATGAGAAAGCTAATCGTGTTTCATGTGCGAAAAACTACTTTAAAAAAAGGAAAATCGATTATTTTCAGACATTGCAACAGGATATGAACCGTAGGTGCATCACTTTCAGCCGCAAAGAAAGTTTAATTATAAAGAATGGATGACAAAACAGTGAAAAGGTCAAGTGATTGCCAAACGCTTGCAGGGCAGAAAAAAAATATTCTCTGGGCTATTTTCTCTGATAGGGAGGGTGTTTTGTTCACAAGGAGAAGAGCATGACTGGACAATGTACAAATGAAACATTTAACTAAAACTTGAACAGCACTATAAAATTAGACCCTCAAATCATGGATCTTTTACTCCATAGCAATGCCCTATCCCACAAGTCAAAACAAGTACCCATTTTCTCAGTAAAGAAGGTTATTGTCATCCCTCACCTTGCTTACTCTCTTGATCCTTCCCCTGTGCTTTTTTGTCCCTCAAAACTTATTTGACAGTTATGTGAATGACACTACACCTCTAGAACCTTAGTTGTATCTGCAATTTATCAGTTTAGAAAGGCTGCACCTAAACAAAAATACAGAAAAAACATTGCAGGATTGGCTTTCACACTGAAAGAGTATATAAGTGTTATACGGGAGTAGTTCGAAGGAATGAAATATACACAAAAACCATGTCCTTATTTTTTTATGGCACCAAAGACAAGATTTTTTTAACGACCCTCGTATTTAACTGTAGTTATAAATTTTGAATTTGTTAATTTCAGAATCCGTTTGATCCAGTTATTTCTTATAAATGTATCATTAATTATTTTTCAAGGACCCAGATGAATTAACTTTAGCAGATTTGAATCCAGAATTTGTTCGAGTACAGACATTAATAAAAGGCCAGGTTTTTGTAAGTTTGATATTCTCTGCTTTAGACTGCTTTCTTATATATATGTAATCATTGTAACGTTCACAAACAACGTTAATTAGTAAATATTAATTGATCTTTTTTAATCGTGTAGGGGTTATCGGATCTTATATTGGAACAGAAGACAAATTTTAGTATAGTTAGTAACGGTGCTGACGTCATACTCATAGACCAACAGTTTTATCTCAAACATGCACCGGAAAAGCTTCTTTCCAAAATGAGGCAAGAGGTCAGTATTTTTTTTATGCACTGAAATGAAAAAAGAACTTCTCAGGAGCCCCAGCATTTTATATCTAAAAGATATTGTACAAAAGACAAATATTTTTTACGTATCTGGGCATCAATCTCCTTCGCCTTCAATAAATATTACAAAAGTGTGGACTATAACTATAGAAATAAGAACAAAAGTTGTATTCTTGAAGTAAAAAAAAGTTTGCAATGATTAATGCTAAAGCCCTATTTGAAATTTAAGGAAGACATAATTTTTACTGATTGATATGTTATCACTTACAGTAGTCAGAGTGTTTCACTGCTATTTACCAGAACCACAAACACACCTACATCATTCTTAATATAATGATTGAGGATATAGTGAAATAAGTTGTTATTTCTACTGATTGGGTGAATATCATTAAAAGTGCTTCACTTGTAGAATAATTCATTTCTTCTGATTCGGTGATTATCACTTAAAATTGCTGCAATGTTACTGTCCCTTTCCTTTCTCTAGCTATGCCCGTACCCGACAGATGAAGATCTACAGACTCGCCTACAACAGAGTGTTGACTGGGACGCGTACAGAACAGACACCATGTCTAATACTTTAAAATACCTCGAAACTAGAAGACAATTACGTCACTCACTCAAAGTTTAGCGATGGACGTTGTATATAAAAATAATCCAACGTCTTGCAGCAACATTACGCCCATCACATTTGAAAATGGAAGCAAGAAATTTATCACATTCTCACAATGACATGGATATCAAATGTTAATCATGGCGTAAAGAAAAAGTTTTGATAATTTTCTATATACTTGAATTGTGCAAGAGTTATTTCTCGTTGGTCGCCATATTGGAATTCTATAAGCTTGGATTCCTTCATTTTTTAACAAAATTTAAACTATCATACTGGTTATAGGTGTAAAAGAAATTTCTGAAGAACATATTCTTGTTAAAGACTCATTTAATTCATAATGTTCTCATTGTTAAGTTGCTTCCCATGCACATATTATGTTTGAATTTTGTTAATCAAAGAAGAAACTACACCAGTTTGGTTTCCAACATGGTGGACATAGGGGATAACTCAGAGGAAAAATGCGTCACACAAATATTACTATCTGTTGAGGATGCTTTAATGAGTTTACATTTCAAAAAGTAAACTAAGGTTTATTTTTTCTCTACCTTCTTTTATGCAATTCTTGATTTTATATGTCAAATTTTCAAAGATCATAGACATAGTAATGTTTAAACATTCTCATAGATTATTTACATGATCTGAATGTATAAATTTTCTCTGAAATTTTAGTTTAATGTCTTTGATAACAACATGTGCCAAACAAATTAAGCTGTGATTGTGAATTTTCCTACTAAAATGTTAATGTAGATGACTCCATTGGGAATAAGCCAAATTGGCTTTCATGGGCCATCCTTGGGTTTAGGCATATACAATATATATTAATTTATATTTATTGATTTGATTTATAATTACAACATAATAATTATTTCTTATGAAATTAATGCTTTAAAATTCATTTCTTAAATTATGTCCATACTTTTATATGTATATCAATCATACCACAATGCTCATGTACATTGCCTGTTCCTGAATAAAATTTATTTTTTTTTATCTCTCAGATTGGAAAAATAAAAGTTAAGATATTGATATCGATGAGGTAATCGACATCTATTTTGCAAAACGCTGTGATATAATCTAATATCCAAATAATGTTTACAAATGCTAGTGAGCAGTACATGAGCTTAATTATTAATTACCTCACCGTGCAGGTTGTTCATTTGTTTGTATGTTTGTGAGCAGGAATTCGCGTTTTATGTGTGTAATTTTATAATATCACTGCAAAAAAGTACCAACAGGCTTGGAGTAGATTTAAATCTCAGAAGACTCCGGAATGTTTCCCAATGACAACTTACCATTTATGGTCATGTTATTTTAACTTGAGTTATCGCTCTTGATGCCACTCTGTTCGTGTAAAGAATTTGAACAAATAATTATTGTTAAAAGAAAAAGCTTTTTATTTAGTAGAAGAATAATTTCATGCTATAATTTGCTTTTTCTGAAGGACTGCAAAGTAATTTGATATATAAATAACTTGGAAAATGTTATTAATGTAACGCATTTAATTAGACACATTTTAATAAAATGAACTTTATCATGGTACATTCTGATTATGCCAATGCGTCTGTTTAAACAACATTAATCTCAGGCACTTTCCACTTCATCGCACATTTTGGTACAGGAACAATTTATTAATAATGAAAAATGAAATTGACAAAAATAGTTGCAGCTTTTCACACATGAGAACATATGTAACAAAATACCAGTCAAATCAAAGTTCATCGTTTAACACATATTTCTCTTGGGTTTACGTAACAAAATCTTTTTTCTCTCTCTCTAAACTAAATTGTAAAATAAAGTTCGCCATACCAATCAATGCTAAAATACCATGGGTATAATTTGGATATACCTGATCACTGGAGATGGATTTCAATGGCTTTTTTTTATTATTAAATCTTTGAATATATTTTCATAATATTGATCTTCATATTGAAAAGGATTAAAAGCGGGTAGTGGAATATTCGTGAAGCATAATAACTGACTCCGAATATATCCTTCATCAGCAAAGTCTTTTATCTTTCCTAGATTTCAAAGAGCTTAGTCTCTTAAGAACGAAGACTCTAGTCATTCCAGTTCAACGGAAAATTCATTTCATTTACGCTAGAATGTTAATTTTCTGATTGAAATTCTGTAAAATCAAAAGCTTGCAATGCAAATGAATGAAGCAGTAATTCGGTACGGTGATATTGATTCCTAGCCAAGGTATGTATTCCTTTCAATTGAAATTCCCCATGCTTTAAATTAAAAAAAACGGATGTAAAAGGGGGTTTGAACAATTGCTGATTATTTTTTCTAATTTAGCAACTAAAACCAATTAAAGGTTGATAACCCTTTATGGAACATCGATAGTTGAAACCTCGGTTACATTTTAATAAATATTAATTATGAACCTTGTGAGTTACCATTGAAATAACAAACTATGATTAAAACAACCGAAAATTTACTCTTTGTGTTCTCAGTAAAATTTTATTCTCGATAACTGAACTCTTAAATGCAAAGCTTGTTTTACAAGCTTAAAGTTTTAGAATTAACATTTTTGAACCCTTATAAATCCGTTTACTTCTTAACACTGAGAAAAGAATTGATTGCTTTGTTTTTTATTTATCGTAGTTTCTATGCATTTGATTCATTTTCCATTAAAAATATCATCCTCAAAATTGTTAAAATTAATGTTAAATCTTATCAAATCATAATGACTAAATATTCTTTGTGGACTTTTCATTAACTTGTAGAATGCACAACGGACATGTCTTAAATGTGTGATTCTGCATATATCTGAAATGTCTCAACGGAAAGTGCTCTACAAATTTATCAAATGAAATTGAAAAAAAATCATTCCCTCCTGACAAACAACATAATTAGATATACATGCATGTAATGATTTTTCCAAATGTCACACTAGTGTTCTTAGGTAAAGGACACTGCATATAGTTAAATAAATTCCTGAAAAAGTACTTAATTTCTTTCAAATCCGGATATGAAACAGACAGTTCAAAACCTTTTTCCTAACCAAAATAAATTTCAAGCCAATGTAACATTTCACTCTGAAAAAAAATATTGTAAAATAGTTTTCATGACAATTGCATTATCTTAATCTTCGTGGTTTTATGTTTAATAATAATAATAATAATAATAATAATAATAATAATAATAAGGCTGTGATTTTGTTTTTAATTTTGATTAATTTAAGAAATAAGGCATCATTTTTAAACTTTTATCGGGATGAAAATACAGGTTGGTCATATGTTCAAATCTCATAAAGCCCGAAGGGCTTTATCGTAGATTTGATCATGTACCAAATCATATTAACTTCCGATAAAAGTTTTAAAATGATACTTATAACTTATTTTTGATTTGTCACTGATTTGATACAAATATTTGGGTACTATATTTTTTAAAACAATGGAATTATTTATTTTTTCAAACCTGAACTGTATAAATTAAATGTTTTAAACACGTCGACAACTAATGATGTCTCTATGAAATCTTAAACAGCAATGTACTCCATGTCTTCCTGTATGGATCAGAGTGCTGGAAAACCTCTTTGGCGATTCAAAGAAAACTCGAAGTTTTCCAAACCAAATCCCTAAGACGTATTCTCAAGATCTATTTGCCGAAAACCATCTCAAAAGAAGAACTATTGAAAAGAACTGGGATGCCAAAAATATCACAGACCATCCAAGCAAGACGCTGGCGATGGCTTGGTCATGTCCTATTCATGCCCCCAACTCACTGCCCAGGGCTGCCCTTAGATGGACACCCCAAGAAAAAAGGAACAGAGGCCGACCAAAGGAGACATGGAGACGAACTGTCCTAAAAGACCTAAAGAGCCAGCACCTCGAGTAGCTGCAGACCAAGCCAGATGAAAATCCCTTGTAGCCACCTTAAACACCTGATGGCACATAGAGGATTGAGTGAGTGAGTGAAATACGGGTTGGTCATATTATCAAATCCTACAAAGCCCGAAGGGCTTTATCGTAGCTTTGATCATGTACCAACCCTATTTACATCCCGATAAAAGTTTAAAATGATACCTTATTACTTATTTTTAATTTGTGGCTGAATTTAAACAAATATTTGTGTACTCTAGTTTTATAACCATGAAATACTTTTTTTCAAACCTCAACGGTATAAATTAAATGTTTTGAACACGTCGACAACTTATGACGATACTATGAAATTACGTCGATCGTTTATGACTAAACAATGAATTTATGGTCAAGTTACGAACCTGTATATACAGAGCCTTAAATATGCCTTGCTCAAATAATGTTATATAGGAGCGAACATTTGCAAGTGTAAATATATTGAATGCGGTGAAACAATATCAGACACAGTAAACACAGGTCAAATAATGTCATATATATATATATATATATATATATATATATATATATATATATATATATATATATATATATATATATATATATATATATATATATATATATAAAATGAAAAGAGAAAAAGCCCTTATTCTTTAGAGAACATCAAAATTTGGTTCATCAAATGGTATGAAATTTCCTTTTTTGTATTTCTTATTAGAATTTTATTACCTCTGTAATTAAGTTCTAATTCTACAAATTAATTGCAAAAATCACTTCACGTTTTTCACATTGACACCCGCAAAGCATGCTTAATTCCCCATAGTGTGAAAGACCAAAACATTAACTAATTTTCACACAAGGCAATGAAGTTCTTAATGGTCTAGCTCAGTTAATGACCTGTCGAGGCCCAAACACTAATGAAAATCTCTACATGACATTGCCAAGTCTTTCAAATAAACTCTTTTTGGTAGGAAAGCAGCAATCTAATAAGGCATTCTATAAAATCAGTAAGGCTGAAAATTTCCCGCACTCAATAAACCGCGTTGTCATAACGACCATACGATGCCATCCGGCAAAACACGATAATCTCGTTTGGCAATGGAAATCTGGAATTAATTCCTTGAAATCAAGGATCCCGTCCCTTCCAAAAAAATATATTTGATATATTTGGCGTATATGTTAAATCCTGTGACA